ACATTCAATACTATCAAGTCGAAAAATAGATCCAACCATAAAAAGAACTTCTTCTTCTTCTGGAAAATAACTTAATGAATGAATTTTACTAAATGCTTTTAATTTATCTAATCGAGGATCAGCATTGATTTCAAAAAAAACTTGTTCACTATCATCGATGGTATTATCATTCGACGAATAAAGAAATGATCGAGCTTGTGCATAATTAAGACTAGTAGAAAAAAATGAATTTATTGATATAAATTCTCTAATATAAATTTTTAATAACTGAATTTCATTTTTTGACATTTGTTGTGCTCGATAAACTCGTATTGGTACTGAACATTTATTAGTTTCTAATTGACGGTCAATATCATTAATAATGAATTTTAATAAAAATAATAAATCAATATTTTGTACTCGTAATGCTTTATTTAATAATCGATAAAGAAAACAATCACGTGTATACCACCATATAGCTTGATTTGATGAGTAATTTTTAGTAAATTCTTGAATAATATTTAACTCTTGAGGGTGTAGTTGAGTGTGGATGTGGATGATGACTCAACATACCCACCCACCAAGATTTTTCTTTAATTTTGTGTGTCTGAGCAATGCGATAAATACTACTATAGTCTCGAATATTAATACAGCTCAGCTAACAACAATCTTTATAAAGTAACGCTAACTAACTCTGAATAGATTTCTATATGACTACATCAGTATATGTTGGAACTTTCTCTAGTGTTATATTTCCCTTGACTTACTAGTCATACTGTTCCGTTCTGTAAGATATTCCATTACGTCACGACATATCTTTTTTCAGATTGTTATTGTTTTTTTGAAAACATGTTCATGTTATTCATAAATAGTCGTCAAGCTATAGAAAAGAGATGAGGATCAGAAATTTATTTTATAAAAAATGACTAAAAACAACTACATATAAAACTTGAAACGAATGATTTTGAGAAGGGATATTATTCTTGTTTCATATTGTTAAAAAGTAGCATCCATTCATGTGGCAATACTGTTACAATCGCAACCTTTCGGATATGGTGGACAGGCACTACGCTTCTTGCGGGTAAGATGTTCGAGGATTGAGTCTATGATAATACGAATTTGGTCCTTGTGTGTACACACATTGTATGGTATACATTGCCATGTACATGGCCAATGAATCTCTCTCTTGACTATAGCTGTTTCGCTGATAACAAACAGAGCCGAGAGCACAATAACAAGTAAGGTAAATTTATTCATGTTGATCGATCAGATAGAGATATCGATTCGTTTGTTATCAATTGATGAAAACACGTCGATGTGTCGATCTTTACTTCTTTCCTTGCT